CTTTCCCAGTGAAAAATACCAGACCAGAGGAATGGAAAAGAAAACAGCTATTGTTAGCAACAAAATTTTCCTACGGGAACTGCTCCCTGATGCTGGTACTCTGAGTTTATGAGGTAACTTCCTCTGGCACTCTGGTGGTTGTGTGGTAAATGTTCCAAAATACTGCAAAAGTCTATAAGCACTAGAATAGTACCTCTGCAAAACATCACATGACTGCACATGGTGTACCAGCAGCACAAAATCCCATGACGTCTATGATATATTTCTCATGATTCTTACTGCTTCGGGATGACAAAAATCAGCCCTTGTTTCGTTCTCCAGCTAACCTGGAAAATCAGTCATGATTTCTTTTTATCTCGATGTCTTCGATATCTTGGCGTCTATCTCTTTACACACTCAGAAACGTGTTCCATTTTTTGGATGTTGTTTTGTTGAACGTCTGCTCTGATTACGAACATTATCCCGCTACTATATACATTTTATGAACTTTCTTTCATTTTGCAGAAGTGGCCCGTGCTATATTTGGTTCATTATCTCTGGGGGGAAAAATGCATTTATCTTTCATTCTTGAGCTCACATAGGTCTAGGCATTCCACTGAAGCTGTTTAGGTGATTTAGTTGTCTGATAATGATATTGTTATGTCTTTCCCCACTTCCTGTATGTCTTAAATGTGCTGTTAAGTTTCTTTGAACTGCCACAGAAGCTCTCAACCACTAATGTCACCCAGGATGATGTGAACATTAGAGTGCACATTAAGGAAAGTACCATACCACATATACTCACCTCTGTAATGAAGTACAATTTTTAGATTACATAGCTTTAGTTTGGTCATTTTATACTATTTTGTAGATATTTTTCCCTTTCCTGCTTCATAGGCGTACTTTTTTCCTTCAGTGCCCAAAGAGATACTGCTTCTTTAAATCTCCTAGCCATTCACCTTTAAATATGATACACAGTGTTTCACAAAACACCCACAGATTTCTCTTTTGATTCTTTGGATGGCAGCAACGTCTAAGCAGTTACTACTGAAAATGTTGCATTTGTATTAACCACCTAGGAAATCGGTATTTTAATTAATAGTTTCTTATAATGGATCTATTCTTTAATTTTGTGGGATTTTGAATATGGGGCTTTAGTAAGTGAATGAATATATTCTCTTTAGACTGTTTAGCCTGTCCTTTTTTACTCGGTAGGATTCAAATCCAAAAATATGTGAAGGATAATTATCTTTGAGGACAGTGTAACAAGAAAGAGGGGCAAGGTGAAAAATATCCCAGATAATTATCTGAAGGACAGCACTGTGGTCTGAGGGAAAGGACGGTGATAAAGTGTTGCTTTATGTCTCTCAAATGGACTTTATAATTCAGGTGAACTTTAGATCTGCCCTTCATCACCCACACGGTGCATTGAATCATAGTCTTGCTTCTTTGATGGCTGATCATTGGATTGAATTCATTCAATCCAATTCTGTTTGAACAGCTGAGCAGCTTACAGCTGTGGGTAATGAAACAATGGTTTGAAGATATTGTACTCATCATCTTTAATATTTCCTCCATGAAGTAGCTTATATCAATGAATATTTTTTTAAAAAAATGCTTGCTCCTCATAATTTGCTGTTTTTATTAAACAAAGCTGCTCAGAGCATTCATTTTGAAGATTTATTACTACTGTCCTAACTTTCTCATACTAATGCCACCTGGGCAATGCACTGTTGTTACAATATATTGCAGCGGTATTTCATGCCCTGCTTTTTTTCTTTTTAAATTTAAACACTACATATTAAATCTTATGCAGGTTTATGGTTCCCTGATGGACTTAAACATTCACCTTCACTGACAATGGATTTCAAATTGTTCCCACGACCGAACATTTGATGGCTTTCAATATACTATAAGCTTCTCCTAGAAATTAAATTGGCAAGACATCAAGGTTTGGGTTTTTTTGTTACAAAAGGTGTATTCCACTTATAATGTCAAACATAAAAAATTAAATGAAGCTTAAATTTTATGACATAATTTCTCTTAAAATATATTACAGTGAAAGAAGGTCATCAATACAGGTTTTCTTTGTCATTTTTGTTCCTTGGCCTGTGTTTTTGTATTCTCTTTCAAGAACATGAAATGTAAATGTATTGCACTGTAGACTGTATTTCACTTTGATGTCCTCCATGATCCTGTCCATATATCATACAGCGCCTAAATCCTGAATTGAGAAACCTGTAAGCTAATTTTTAATTTTTATTGCCCCACAGCTGCTTCATGCCAGTCGTCCATCAATTATGAAGCAGCACAAATTCGATGAGTCACAGCATCTGATACGGTCTGATACCACAAACGCCTACAGCAAGGCCCTTCATATAGAATCAGCAAATACCTCGCAAATCAAACGTTTAATGTGATGTAAAATAGCTCTGTCAGAGAAAAACATAAACTTTTACAGTTTGGTCCTCTGGTGGCCAACAAACTTTGTATTTAAAGCATGTTTTTAGTTTTATTGGAGAAACACTATTCTGTGGAAGTAGATGAAATCACCAGCAAGAGGCTGAACTTCATCGGTTTTCTGATTTACCTTTAAATTCTGTAATGCAAAGTTAACAGCTTGTCATAAAGAGATAGCTCTTCCATGCTGCATATAGTCCCCCAACCATTTATCAGTATAGGCTCTACTGAGAGTTTGTCAGGGCTTCTTTCCAGACTAAATGAGACATCATTATATGTGCCAAAATAAGGGAAAATGTCCATCACATTTCCCCAAACAGCTTGTGCAGCATAATCCAGAAGCTGTAAACAAACTGTCGGACCATAATTCGTAATTGTCTTTATTTTCCTCCTGAGGAGGATCAGCTATTTGCTAATAGGTGCAACCAGAGTGATACCAAAGAGGGGGAAGCATATCAGAAGGTAATGAAACAAATAATTTGTGGTTCTATGGTAAACGCAGAAGATGCTGTTTGGGGGATTCTGCTGATCATTAAAGCACAGCAGAGGTGTGTGCTCAACTTCCAACTCCTGAGCTACAAATGACACTTTCTTTCCTTGCACAATTTACACATTTACACACCAGTTCATTCATTGCCATCTGATATGGAAGTTAATTAGCAGACTCTCACATGGATGCTTAAGCTGGTGTGATGCTCTGTAGACTGATTTCAAAACGCTGTACTGGCAGGATCTTATATTTAGACTTTTATAGCTTATGTATATGAGTGTAAACAAGTAAAAATGATGGATTGCATTGTTTTTTATAAAGAATCTGACATCCGGTGGAATATCTCACAACTAACAAGGTTAATTAGAAACATGGCTGGGTGTAAAAATCATACAGACGTCAAGTCTTTTAGAAGCAAAGCTGGGAGGGGGGTGCTTCACCAGCCTGTGAATTCAGCATAAGGAACAATGCAACAATGTGACTGTAATATTATCAAGTAGAAATGGGAAAATGGCAAATAATTCCTTATCTGTGGCACATAATATCATTAAAGGATTAAGAGAATCTGAAAAAAAGAATCTCTGCAGGCGAATGCCAAAAACGCTCAAATAAATAAATAAATAATAATAAAAATCTTCACAGCTTCATATCCTGAGGCAGCACTACACTGAAGACTGACAGCTGCGCAGTGGAAACTATCCAATATCTACTGTCAATATTAATTGTATTTGGAATTACTGCCTCAAAGCAAAGAAGGTCCTGGGTTTGAATCCATCTTGCTGGGGTCTTTCTGTCTGGACTTTGCATGTTTTCCTCTCGTCTGTGATTCTGGCTTCCTTCTACAGCTCAAACACACGCAAAGTGGAGAGGTCCCATTCAGCTTGCTAACACCTGGTACTGGGATGCAGTGACATAATGATAAATCACTATTGCCAAATGATTCCACCATTTTCAGCAACAGGTTTGCTTATTTCAGCAAGGCAATGCCAAATTACATTCTCCACATATAACAGCAGCATGTCTCTGTGGTGAAAGACTTCAAGTCGCAGCTGGCCTGCCTGCAGTCCAGACCCGTCACCCACTGTGATTATTTGATGCATAATGAAACAAAAAGATATGACACAAGCATGCCCTTGAACTGTTGAGAAACTGAAAAAGGAAGAATAGGAAGAGATTTCACTTTCAAAACTAGAACACAACTGGCCACCGCAGCTCAGAGCCTTACTGCATGTTGTCAAAAGGAGGGATGATGTAACATAGTAGTAAACAGGCCCCTGTCCTCCCCAAATACCTACCTACCTTCAAATAAGCTTTGTTGTTAAAAATAAATAAATAAATAAAAGAGGGGGGGGGGGGCAAAGTCATGATTATTAACATTTAACGTGTTTTTGTAGTCATTTTTGTTGGTTGGTTGCCAGTTTTTTTGTATTACATTTGCTAAGAAATGAAAAACAGGATCATTTATGGTGGACTTCCTTGCTTGAGGGGTTAAACTCAAAAACTTCAGTTACCTGATCAGAACTATTATATCAAACCAGTCGTTTCATTATGATGAATAGTGACAGTCCGTTTCATTTCCATTAATTCATTGTGGACCTCTTCTTCCATGTCATTACCCTGCACGCACACACATGTGTTTTACTTCAGCTTAATATGCTTGTGATTCACAAGTAAAGCTGTCTGCCTCACTATCAGTACCTAACTGGGTCCCAGCACTTTATTTGATTAATTAATTAATTAATATTTCCATGGAAGTGTATATGATGTCGAGGAAACAAGTGTTGGTATTCAAAGAGTTATTATTACATGGCTGTTCAGCTATTAACATCACTTTTTATTAGTTAAAAATATTTTTTCTCAAATACAAATATAATATAGAATCATAATACCATATAATACAACTTTAAGCAAATGCATAATGTTAAATTAAAAAAAAAACTGCTAAATTTGTTACAATGCTTTTACAATATCACTGCACGACATATGAAACTATTAGTCTGTTTTCGAGGTTGTGTTCTGCCATCTAGCGGTCACGCTGGGTAGCACAGTGGCGCCTCGCCCTACGTCATATAATAATAAGGAAGTAGTGGCCAGATAAACCGCACTGGTCTAGGTGGAGGTTATTTTGGGACGGTATTCTTCTGTATGTATTGTAAAAAAAAAAATCCCTGTACGAACACACGCGGCTTAACAAAAGCAGTGATGTGAAGGGTCGGCTCCATCGGCTCATCCCGCTGTAGTTATTTCCCCCAGTGTGCTCTTTCTCTTTCCCTCTTTGTCTTTTATGCGAAGATCGATGGAGAAATACTCCCTTGTTAAAGTGATCGGCGAAGGCTCGTTTGGCCGGGCCGTGTTAGTGCGGTGTAAAAGCAGTCAGGAAAAATATGTGGTGAAGGAGATTCAGCTGCCAAAGGTATGTGCAAGGAAAGGAGGGAATGTCCTCACCTGTTTGGAGCAAACGGATCAGTCTGATTCAAATCTTCCCCCGAAACTGTGATGATTATAAAACATTCAAGTAAAATAAGACTTGTTGGAATTCCAGGCGTGATGTTGCAGCCTGGGGTCGGATATGGAAATTTTTTATTTTATTTGAGTTTAGTTTAGTTTTTTGCGCCTTGCTGATAACCTGCCAGATTGCTGCTTACACTGAGACATGGAAGCTGTTTGTTGTCAGCCTGCCTTTGTTTGTTTGTTTTGTTTCGCGCTGTATGGAACACAATCATGTTTGCATTTGCATTTTTATAGAATCAGTCCAAACTGGAGAATTCGAGGAGGGAAGCCATCCTGCTGTCCAGAATGAAACATCCTAATATTGTGGCTTTCAGGGAGGCATTCGAGGGTAATCGTACACACGAATATCACTCGCTTTAAAAGTCATTACAAACCTTTTATGAGCATACAGTTACGATTGTTTGGATTTCAAAATAGCAAGTGTGATTGTGTTTGTTTAGCTGATGAACTCCTGTGGATTGTTATGGAGTACTGCAGCGGAGGAGATCTGCTCCAGAGGATTAAGCAACAGAAGTCAAACCAGTTCAGTGTTGATAATGTACGTCCTGACTTCCTGCACTCATGATCACAATTACCCTTCCCTACTTGTGTTTCATTGGGTTTTTAAATTCTTTTTTCAGATCTTGAAGTGGTTCGCTGAAATGTGCGCAGGTGCAAAGCATATCCATGATCAGCGAGTTCTGCACAGAGATCTGAAATCCAAGGTACAGTCACGTCTAGGTTTTCTAGCTTATGCATTTTACTTTGTTCAGGGTACATTAATGAATGTGTCTTCTGGTTCATTCAGGTCAAACCTGCCTTAAACATAGAGAGGAGAATCAGCTTTCCTATGTTTGTTCTCTCAGTTCTCTCAGTCTGAACACTCATGTCACTCGGTAGCATTTACTGAACAAATTCAGCTCTGTAATTCCAGATTTCAGCTAAATTACATCTTAAAAAAAGGTATCCATGATCAGCATATTTTAGCCCAGTGTGTAAAAAATATGCAACAGACATATAGACAGTGACTGTGCTTAGGAGTCACCGCACCTAGTCCTCCGATTACCACTTGGACCACTGTTACCTTCACCCTTCTCATCTTCTTGAGCTCTTCTCTGACCCCGTGCTACTTCTCTACCTTCTTGTGTTCCTTCTTCCTGATTTTACTGCCATTTTGTCCGTCTGTATCTGGAAGTCCCACAGAATCTTAGCTCGCCCTAGGGGGCGTGTCCGATTTTGACCTCGGAACTTCCAGGCCATATTTGGCACAGATGTTTCTGTATACTATGCCAGCCACTTGGATATGGCGTTCCATGTATGCCATGCCTACTAGCATCTTGCACCCTGCTGTTATGTGCTGGATTGTCTCTGGGGCATCTTTACACAGCCTGCACCTGGGGTCTTGCCTGGTGTGATAGACCCCAGCCTCTATGGATCTTGTACTCAGAGCTTGTTCCTGTGCTGCCATGATTAGTGCCTCTGTGCTGCTTTCAGTCCAGCTTTGTTCAGCCACTTGTAGGACTCCTGGATGTCAACCACTTCCTCTATCTGCCTCTGGTATATACCGTGCAGAGGCCTATCCTTCCATGGTGGTTCCTCTTCTTCCTCCTTTTTCTTGGGTTTCTGCTGCCTGGGGTAGTCACTGAGCACGCGGTGAGTTGGGGCCATCTTCCTGATGTATTTGTGGATGTTCATTGTCTCATCCTGGACTGTGGTACTGACACTCACCATTCCCCCAGCCTCCTTCCTTCCGCTTAGCATACAGCCTCAGGGTGCTGGACTTGGGGTGAATCCTCCATGCATGGTAGGGAGCTTCCTGGTTTTGATGTCAGTGGCTTCTATCTTCTCCTTTGGCCAGGTTATTATCCCAGCAAGGTACCTGCTCACGGGCAGAGCGTAGGTGTTGATAGCCCGGATCTTGTTCTTACTGTTCAGCTGATTTCTTAGGACTTGCCTGACTCTCTGCGGGTACTTCATGGTTGCAGCTTTCCTAGCAGCCTCTTCATGGATAAACATTGCCTGTGGGATCCCCAGGTACTTGTAGCTGTCCTCTATGTCTGCAGTGTTGCCATCTGGTAGTGTGATTCCCTCAATTCTGAATACCTTCCCTGTCTTTGTTACCATCCGAGTACACCTCTCCAGCCCGAATGACATTCCAATGTCATTGCTGTATATCCCGGTGGTGTGGATCAGTGAATTTCATGTCAGGCGAGCACAATTGAATCCAATTCGGAATCATTTTGCTTGGTTGTGTGTTGAATGAAATGAACAAAAATGAAACTGCTGATCCAGATCAGAAACATTACAACCCATCTATGTGATATAATCTCATTTTGCCATAATTGGCTGTACTTATATCTTGTGTCATGTTAAATCATCACTTATCTTTCATCCTCACCCAGAACATTTTCCTGACCGATAATGGGACAGTCAAGCTTGGAGACTTTGGCTCAGCCTGTATTTTGAACAGGTAAAGAACCTGATGCTGTTCAGCTTTTTAAAGTTAATGTTGAGTTTGTCGATTTTAAATTTGATTGTAAATTTGTTCCAGCTCGAAGGCTTACGCTCATGCATATGTTGGAACTCCGTATTATGTGGCACCAGAAATCTGGGACAATAAGCCGTACAACAATAAGAGGTATGCTACTGTAAGCGTTCAGCTGGATCCTCCAGTTTATATTAAACAATATAAAGATGAAATTATGTTTCTTCTCCATAGATCAGTGTCTGTGCTTAGAAAATGTGTGTCATTGTAACAAGAAATGTTAAAAGCAGAAATGTAAATATACACTCACCAACCACTTCATTAGCTTCCTATGACTGGGTTAGAACCCCTTTTACCATCAGAACTGCTTTAATTCAATAGGAGGGTGGAAAGATTTCTCAAAGTTTTTGTCCATATTAACATGATAGCAACACAGTTGCTGCAGATTTGCCAACTGAACACATGTGCTGCAAATCTCCTGCTCAGCATGCTACTGAACAGGAGATTAGCATGTTTTCATGCTGCTCATGCCAGATTCAGATCATGCCATCCAAATGTGGCAGCAGAAATTGAGACTTGTAAGACCGCACGATATTTTCCTAATCTATGTTGTTCAATTTTGGTGTGAATTGTGGCCTCGGTTTCCTGTTTTTTGCTGACAAGAGTGGCACTCGGTGTATTTATTCTCCTGCTGTGGCCCAGCATTTTCATGTTCAACATTTTCCACGTTCAGAGATCCTGTTCAGCATACTTTGGTTGTAGTAAGTGATTATTTGATTTACTGTTGCCTTCCTATCAGCTCAAAGCAGTCTGGCCATTCTCCTCTGACCTCTGGCATCAATAAGTCATTCTGACCCAAGGAAATTATGCTTGCTAGATATTTTCTCTTTTTTCTGACTATTCTCTGTAAACCCAGAGGTAGTTGTGTCAGAAAAATCCCAGCAGATCAGCAGTTTTTAAAATATACAGTATAGTCTGTCTGGCGCTAACGTGCCACATTTACATTTAAATCTCCTTTCTTCCCCATTTTGATTCCCGTTTTCAGCAGGCCGTCATGTACCCACTAAAATAGCCGGTGAGTGTATGAATTGAATAAAATGTGCTAACAAGAGTTTCTGGGCATGTTTTCTACATGAATAAAATTTGTGAATACGGATTAACAGTAACTAGATCGATGAGAAAAGAAACAGGAACCTATGCTAGAATAGTTTACAGCTGTGTGCAAAAATTGCTGGCAGTGCTGTCACTGCCCATACTAAATTTTTATTTGTTTGCCAATAAAAATGTTTTGAATCTCACAGAACCCTTGTGTTATTCACAATATCAAAAAAAAAAACATGTAAAAATAATCTAAAGAAAATCTGAAAAATCAACTTTGTGCCATGACTGTACATACAAATAATACATCTGTTTAACCAACTGTGTGGTTTTTATTTTTAAAAAGGGACATGCCAGAACCAAATCTGGTCAAACTATGGTGACAGTAGAGCACCTGCAGAGTGTGTGTACATATTTGTGCGTATATGCGGAATTACTGTATGTGGTAATTATAGTTCATTGGAATGCCTACAGTAGTTATTGAAAGTATGTGTGAAATCTGCACTACAAAAATATCCAGAGATCTTAAAGGACTTGGATCACCAAGTGCTAGCCCTCGAGTGGCCCTCGAGTCTGCCGCTGCACATTTCATTCAGCCACACTTCATGTCGTGTTACGATAGAGCAGGGCAGAATGATACCAAGGGATCATCTCTTTTCAAACCCAACTCTTCTGTTCTTGCCATCATAGCCGACTGAACATTCCTAACACTGACGTATACAGCTAGCATCAAGCACTGTAACACTCACTTGAGTAATACATGAATAACAACTATGAACCAGAACAAAAAGTGACTGAATAAAATGAAGAAATAGCAACATAAAACACTGTTATCCTCTGTAGAGAGACAGTGCAAAGACTAACTAAAAGTTAAGTCATATTCTGGCTTCTTAAAGTGGGACTAAGTCATTAAAACTTTGAGAACCCCCGGCTTAGAGTCTCTCTGCAGGCTTTTTTTCCCTGACAGCATACATTTTACATGTTATTTTCAGTCTCTGATTTAGTTTGAGTTCTCTGACTAAAGGGGCTCGGCAGTGATTGTGTAACTCATGCATGGGTTAACCAGTTCTCTCTGACTCTGCCAGTACATGATGAAATGTCTGGTGTGAATGAATAACCATTTCTCCCTTTGTGTGTTCTGCAGTGATGTGTGGTCTCTAGGCTGCGTCCTGTACGAGCTCTGCACCCTGCGACACCCGGTACTCCCTCCTCCAAACTTCATGCACAGTGTGGTTTGTTGTGTCTTCACGCTTTTCTCCTGTGTCCAGTTCCAGGCATCCAGCTGGAAGAGTCTGATTCTTAAGGTGTGCCGGGGTGCATACCCTCCCCTCCCCAGTCATCTTCCTTATGAGTTGCAGTACTTGGTCAAGCAGATGTTCAAGACAAACCCGAAAGACAGACCGTCCCTGCACACCATCCTGACCTCTCACAGGGTTTCTAAACTCTTGCGTACACACCTGCCCTCCCAGGGAAAATCAGTATGTTGAACCTGATTTTAGGGCTGCACATTCATCACAGTCACTTGCTGTTTTGACCTAATGGTAGCATGAGAATTTAAACTCTTACGCAACGTTGCCAGCTGTGGTAATCCAATGTGGACCCTTTGTTTGTTCAGATGGCCGCAGAGCTCGTGCTGTGCATTTGATTCAGGGCGGTGTTTTGAATCTTTTACAGGCCTCAGAGAGGGAGGAGCAGGCGAGGCATACAGGTCGATGGAACAGAGAGGAGGGAAAGAATTTGGCTCGTCTTCTGGGAGAGAAGAGTTTAATAAAAACATCAACATCTGAAGGTGGAGTCAAAGCTAAATGTTATGTTGAAGAAAATGATCTACTGTTGCACTGCTGGCAGGGTTACATTACTGAATTTGTTCTTAAGACTGTATGGTTTGTCATCAAAATATGTCCTAAATAACCCTTTAAATCAGGTATGGACTTATCAAAAAGCTGCTTCGAAAGCAGAGACCCCGCCCCTCGAAAGCAGTGGTCTACTGAGCCATCAGACACCGTGCTGCAGGTGTTAGCTAATGCCAGTCTGGTTTCATCTGACAGCGTGACATCAACTGGCTGGACCTTCACAAGTTCTACTCATGAAGGTATGGTAGCAGCAGAATTTCATTTCCTGAAAGGTGCAAAAATAAGCGGCGGAGACTGAAATGCCAAACCAAAGCATTCTGTTGCAGGGGAGCCAGAGGACAGCAGGCAGAGAAGACGATGGGAAAGGAATCCTCCTGAGAGCCTTCTGAGTCTGCTGGAGAAGGCTCAGCTGAGCAAAGCCTCCAGCACCTTCATAATAAACAGAGGTCTGCTGATCTGTGAGCAGACTCTTATCTCAATATAAGCTGTAGATAGCCCAACTGAAATCTTTAATGTGTTCATCATTGTGGTGTTGTTCAGGTGAAGACCCTCTGTTGGGACCCCTCTCCCATCCTCAGGGTGATGACACGGATGGGCCCGAACAAGAGCTAGTTATAGACGAGGACCGACTGCAGCCACGCTCTGATGATGAAGACACGTAAGTAACCCTGACGTATTGTTGTTTAATATCCCAGCATTAATGCAGAGCATATTAGATGATGTTGTACAGCAGTTGGACATAAAGGGAAATAGTTACAGCAGTGTTTTAATTCATTTTAATGTGAACAGGGTGAGAAAAAGACTGAAATGGGAAGGATACTGAATGAAAGTATAGTTCTTAAATTGTGTTGACTTTGTTGGTCCTCTCACTGCAGGGACTTTGAAGAGGAATCTCCATGTGACTGGATGGATGAAGCTGAGAAAATATTTTTGGAAAACTAAGACCTTTTTTCCTTCTGAGCCTGTAAAAAAGGAAAGGTTAACTTTTAAATGCTGCAACAACACACTAAAATTTTAACTGTGTTTATTTTTCAGCTTGCTGTCAGAAAACCTTGTGCACATAAAGATGTTTGGAAGTTTTGTGTGCTCTGTTTAATAAGTTGTGTTCGCCTCAGGTTAGCAGTGATAAACATTCCTTGCAATTTGAGGCCACTGGGAAGCTTCTGTTTGGCTTGTTCGGAAAACAGGAAATATTAGAGTCAGAAAGGTTATGTCTCCATGCAGTCACACCAATTTGAGCCCGCCTGCACCTTTTGAAGTCTGTTTCTTTTGCGATATCAAAAGCAGACTAAACATCTTGTTGCTGTTATATGGCTTTTATTCTTGTGACTAAACAAACCACATATCTGGCATTTTCAGCTGCTTTGTTGTTTTTTCATTTTCTAGTGAGTGCTTACAGGGCCCATCCTTCCTGCACTCTATTTGGTTTATGTACCACTAGGTGGAGTTGGAATCCCTTTGGGATCCCATTGTGTGGAATGGGAAACACTATCGTGTGGTTCAGATCGGGGTAATTAAAGTTTGGTAAAATAAACTAAAAACTAAAATTAGATGTGAAAAAATGTGTTTAGGTAACAAAATAAGATTAAAAACCAGACTTATGGGAAAAGAAAAAAATAACTGAAATGGTTTTGTGAACTTAGAAGACTAACCAAAATAAAATAAAATATGGGAAAATATGTAGAAAATAGCTTTAGTTTCAGACTTTCTTTGTTTGGTAAAATTTGTTATCAGTTCCCCTGATGAGGCTTTGATGGACTTGTTTATTGAGATTTTGTATTCTTATAAGATGTCTGTCAACTGCTTTCATAAAGGGTTTTTTTTTTAATCCCCGTGCTGATTTTCCTCAGTTTACCTCTGACATATGCACTCCATACAATAATACTACTTATCTTAACACTGACCAAAAAAAAGAAGCAATTTTCAAACAAAACAAAACCCGAACTGAAACGAGCAAACCCACTCTGGATACTAAATCTAAACTGAAGTGAAAACAAAAAGTCAAAAATGAAATAAAAATAAAAACTAATTAGAAAATACAAAATGATAACCATTGTTTCAGATGCGATTAAGCTTCTAATGAGCAGTGGCAGTGAAATAAATCAGTGAGTCCCCATGCTGCATAAAGACGTTATAAATACAAAGGAGCAAGTGGAACATGTTACTGTATTTGGTTTGCCAAATGAGAAGCCTGACGGAATAGGACCAGACAATAGAACAGCCACATGTTTGGCTACAGACAGACTTAACCCAAGCCTTGCCCATTACAGTTTGGGCTGAGCAGGATAGGGATACTACAGCCCGTTGAGTCAACAAAACCACAATGATTCACCAACAGTCACACCAGAGCTGGATTATCCAGCTGCTAAAGTTCTTTCAGTAACTTAGAACTCCTAGTGGCTGACATGAGCGCTCCGTGGTATCTTTTACCAGATATCTGCCCACGATGTGTTTCACTGAGGAAGCTCAACCCTTATCACGAGGGCACAATGAATCCCCTCTCCAGTGCTCACAGTTCATCTCCCCCCCCCCCCCCCCCCCTGCTTTTTAGAAATAGAAAAAAAAGCACCTCCATAGCATAGATGTGCATGTTTGGAAAAGATACATGTAATGTGATGTATCATAGCAGAGCTGCAACTTCATCATGGTCTGTGTCCTGCAGATAGAAGGGTCTCCCACCACTGGCCATGATGAACCGGGAAGTGTCTTTATGTATTGGTCTTATAAACTGAGGGGTTGGAGGTGTATGAATTTGTCTAAAAGAGTTTATACTGGCTGTTTGAACTTCTGCCACCTCTGAGAATTTAGGATTAACAGTAATAGCTATAAATATAATATAAGTATTTCCTTATGAACATCCAATATGAGTACAAAGACTGAATTCAGACTGAAACTCAGAGGTTTGCAGCAAATGATCACTTGCTTAGTTTCAGTTTACTTCAGTTTACTGAAACTAAGGTGAGCAAACCTATGAATTCCAGTTAATCTCACATGAGTGATATCACAAAGACAGAGGATGCACGAAGATCAGTGACTAACTAGAAATCAGTCAAGAGGGGAAGCAAAGTTGCAGCAATACTAAGGAGGTGAAGTAAATGTACCGCTCAGTAGTGCAGCAGTGGTAATGCACATAAAGTAAAATTTACAACCAGTGAATTACATGTACAATATTGCTTGGAAAAACATATCTGGAAAATTGAGCTTTGCTATAAGCAAACAAAACTTTCTTCAGTGGAAATAAAAAACATGTTTGGCAGGAACCTGGCCAGGCCTCACACAGGGAAATAATAGCCCAGTTAGTCAAGTATGGACGTGAGGGGAGCAATAATACAGGCATTCATTCAAGGTGTTGGATAGATCAGAGATTGCATCTTAAATCATGTCTTTTAAAAAAATATCCACAAAGATATCCACAAAAATATCCGAGCCTGATTATGATCAAGTGCAAGCTGCCAATACCACACAAGAGGTTTTAAGGAAGAAGAAAAAAGTGAAATTGGGCAAGTATCTTGCCTAACTTCCATACATATCAGGTTATTATTATTCAGTATTTAAAAGAGGAAGGTAGACTAACACAGGCCCTGAAGCAAGAAATAATGTCTGGGGAAAAGGAGGAACAGCCTTCAAGAAATATGTGAAACACTGCAAAAGGATATAAACAATCCCGAAAAATGTTCACGTTTGAACAATGAAAAGAGTACCTACTTTTGCAGCAACGAGATATGATTCTCTACACTGCATTGAATCACTTGTAAGTTACTGCAGTCTCTTTTCTCATGCCATGTAAGTGTGTCCTCTACCTGCTGTATTCAAATTTCCTTATAAATTATTTCATTTTTTAAAAGTTTCTTGCCAGTATAATTTTTTATAATATTAAAACAAAAATTGCATTTAAAACCAGAGTTTCAAAGAAATCTAAACAATAAAGCATTGTTTGTTTGCAAGTGCCAGGTATACCTGATTTGTCCACCTCATTTAACTACTGGTGCAAAAGGAAATGAACATGAACAGAGGTTTCCTCTTGCAGGAAGGACGTATGTGCTGTCTCCAACAGACATGTCTGCTGTATAAATGTGCCAGAAAAAAAAAAAGAAATAAAAAAGCTGTTTAAATAAATTGTTCAAAACTCCTGCACTTAAGATTGGGTTTGTGAGGTCATTGTGAAAATAGTGTGTCTGCTGCTGGGACTCAGTGGTTTGACTAAAACATACACCGAGAAGGGCAACTATCTACAGTGATTTCCTATCACTTTTGTAACCTGCCACCTTGGTGCAGTGTGTTTGTGAACATTTGGTGACACCTTTTTTGTTGAAGTATGATCAAAACCACAAGGCCCTAGTTTGTTCCTTGCACGCAAGCTGAGCACCACATATGAAAACATCAGAAAATACCGAGGCGTGCATAGTGATGTAGCATTTCCTTGCTCTCATTCTAACGTACTCACTTTGAAACGTGCTGTTTCCGGTTTTTCATTATATGCTCGGATCTGTAGTGAAGCTGCACTTCTAGCTATTGTTCAGGCCCTAATCTGAGTTCCCTCACCGATTTTCTTCCTGCTCATCCGGGTGACCTGATAGCAAACAATCCAGAAGCACGTATGTCTGTGTAGGTTGTCAGTCATCCAGGTCATGGTCAAGAAAAGCGACTGGACTTCTTTAAGTTTCTTCAAGATATTTCCTAACTCTCATTTGAGAAGCTTCTTCAGTTCCAAGACCAAATCGTTGACCTGTTATTGATAATGTGCCTCATCACATGACCCAAGGTGTGGTGTGGTGTCATTATACACATTATCGTCCAGTACCACCCATTCTTATCAAATGATGCACAAAAGACCTTTCATTATGCCTGGTTGGGAGATTGTCCACACTTCGACCCTCAGCTGCTGTCATCACCCTTGATGAAAAATTGACTTCCTATCTGCCGCTGTCCCTTATTCCCCTTTTGTCTCCCTGTTTTTGTGGCCTCCTTTTTGAACACCCCCAGTTTCACTCAGGAAGAGCTGTGCAGATGCAAGATGACCCAGTGATCTCAGTCTGGCTACTGATGCTTAGAAAGGCATTTTCTGATAGATTCCTCTCTCAGTTTTCTTATTCAGAGCAAACTATCAGAGCAAAAACAACAATAATAATTTGCTGTTTTACTCTTTGTTTGTTTTATATAAATGTAGCAACGTTTCTGCGCTATAGCTAGTGGACATTTGTAGCCTCAGTGCATAGCAGCAGACCATGAAACCTTCTGTCATGACTCACCCAGTAAAGAGGAGTATTGTTTATTCTTCATGGGGAGCCGCTCTTCCTGTTAATAACAAAGCACTTAGGCGCTGCAGTTGGGAGTCTCTTTGCAACTATAAATATGGAAGCTGTCATTGTTATGATTATTTCAAGCCCTTTGCAGTGACCCTCCATTGTCTTTTGCCTGTGTTTTGTAGTGATGTATCAGACAATATGAGACTGGCGTAGCCAAGCAGGGCTTTGTCATGGAGCTGCACAATTCATCAGCTGCTCAAAGTAAAAAGGTCAAGAACAGTTAAATCTGGATCCCGGGTTATGTGAAGTGGGACACTGCTGGCTCCAGGCAGGTTGGAGAGTCATTTGTTGTTATAAATGCTGCTATTGTTCGTAACTTAAACGCCTGTTGACTCCTGATGAGTTGGACCACCTTTAAGTAAGGTCATAGGCTCTGCTGTCTCCTCTCTCATCCTCTCATCAGCCACTGCTAGGCACGTTTGTTCAACCGCTCTTAAATTCGAACATCTATACCAGCCAATCATATGGCAGAAGAACTGTAGGTTTAGGTGTGTAAACGTGGTTTAGATGACCAGCTGAAGTTGAAGCTAGCATCTGAATGAGCAAGGAAGGTTATTTAAATTATTTTGAATTTTCAGTTATTTAAATGTGGCATGGTTGCTGGGGCCAGACGGGCTGCTCTGAATATTTTAGAAAATGATGTGGTTTTCCAATTAGAGTTTGGAGAGAATGGTCCAAAATAAACACAAATATATATGCTACCTAAAAATATATAACACTTTTTTATTCTAAGTGCTTTTTATCTAACATTCATACTCCAACAGATGCATCAGAGAGCAACTTGGTGTTAGTATCTTGCCTAGGGATATTTGGCATGCAAACTGAAGCAGCCGAGGATCAAACCACCAACCTCCCAGTTTGTAGATGACATGCTCTACTTCCTGAGCGAAAGCTGACCATGTCCATCCATTTATGGATCACCACAGTGTGCCCATCTTCCGATGACTGCTTCCAGCACAGTCCGTGTCACAAAGCTCAGACCTTCTCAAACTGGTTTGTTGAAGGCAAAAGAGGGACCGACCCATTATGAGCAAGGTGTCCCTAATACTCACATATTTGCATGTTGAATGTTGCAATCATACATAATGTTTATTATGTGGCTGTTGTTTTGTGCACTGGTCTCCCTTGACAAAAAAGAACAACACTTCTGATATTGCGGAAACAGCACTGTTGAAAAAACACTGTCGAAACAACACCTTCAACAACGCTCTTTTTTTCCACCTCACTGACCTTAACGTGACACTTATGTTTTTGCATACTCTACATCTCTTGAATGAAGCAGCATGTATCACCCACTGCTTAGCCTATATCATGTGACTAACCGAATTGTGAAGATGATTCATTATGAACACCCACAGTGAAGAGGGCCTCAGACCTATATGTTTGACACTGAATTAGATGAATGAGAAAAATACAAACATTTCTTCAGGCATGAAAAACAACTGATTCCCATAGATTCTCATACACTACTGGACTTTAAAAAATGAATATTATACAAATTACTGACACAACTAAGATACTCTCATTAATCATAGTGATAGAATCACTGTGATCAACAATGGATTTGAATCATATTTGTGTTTTCTTCATAGTTAAGTCTGCAGTTCACAGGGATAGCTTAAAAAGGGAAAAACAGCAGTAATTGCAGCATCATCAGCAAGATTGCAGCCTCTGGTATTTAGTGTTTTTGTTCATTTCATGAACTGCAAAGACACAAATCATACTGATTCAAATAGCTTGTCCCAACAGTTCACAAGTCTTTACATGAAACATTAATAAAGCTTGAGGTTGAATCTGAAGTCAGAATGATTTCCATATAATGCTAGCTGGTGGTGACATACACAGTTTTAGCTAAAACATCTTAAGCTTAGCTTAAGAATGTGCATTCATCTGACTATAGGTAACAATTTTCATTTACCTTTAAATAAGCTTTGGGTTGGCTTTCACATAAAAGTTTTGTTAGCTAAGAAAAACTAAAGTTGGTTTAATGTGTCAAACAAATCCATTCAAGTATGAAAGCACTTCGTGTGAAGTGAAACATTCGTTGCTTTGATTGTGTCAATGTGTGTTATGTAAGTTTAGAATAGTGCAATCTCCTGCACAAATTGGTAAAGAAAGACAGTTAATGGCTAATCTCTTTTATCAGTCATGTAACTTTGGTGACACATTGCTTGAGTAGTGTTTGCATCAGAGCAAATGTTTTACAATAAGAATGTAC